TGAACTCAGCTATAGTCAGTTTACGAGACCATTTAGGAAGTCTGTAATAGTCCAGTCTGCTTTTAAATTAATCAATTACACGCACAAGTGGATTAGACGGAGAGTTGAACCTTGAAGACTGTACACCATAAACAACATCCACTCTGTCAGGAATAAAATCAGCAGTGAACATAAAAAATGGTCTGTCTCTAAGATTTGTTTAAAACCAGTAAAGAACTGGGCCAGAGAAGCCAACCCAGTTTTCTAACCAGTCCAACAGGATAACCAGTACAAGTTCAGATTTACCTCCAATCAATATGGAAGAGTTGTTTCCTGCAAAAGAAGGTGGGACCACAGAGACATCCACATCTTTGACCAAAGCTTAAATTACCAACAGATATTTTGTTTATTTACAGAAACGATCCTCGTCTCTATGTACCAACTGTTTATTTTACGGTCCTCAGTACCGCTGAGCAGACTCCAGAAACACACCGGGCTGTGCCTACAATTGGCTCCGTATGCTTGACTTTTACCAAGTCATCGGCTCAACTGTCCAACCCAGAGTCTGTTCATCTTCACCTCAGGATCTTGAAGTTCCCCAACACCCTGAACGCTGAAGACACCAGGAAGGCCATCAGCATCGCCTTCGCCAAGTGGAGCGACGTGTCGCCACTAAGCTTCACCGAGGTTACCGACAGCAACACCACCACAGACATCACCATTGGTACGTCTCGTCTAGCAAACATATTTCCAGTAGGCCTGTTGTGATAAACAATAAATCAATTAATCGCATGATAAATGAAAATTATTGAACTCATTTTCATTTATCAGCTTTATCGTTTCTTCGTGTCTCTTTCTACTGAAGACACTGGATGACAAAAGACTCAACTCCGGTTCTTCTCTGACCCCTCCCTTTCTCTTTTCTCTTTAAAATCAATTTTAACGTCCAAAATCGTGTTTTTGGATCGTTAAAAGCAGTTAAGCTGAGAGGCTAAGCTACGAGCTAAGCTAACAGGCCGACCTCGACAAAAAAACCTCTGTCTTGTCGAAGCTCCAAAATTCATGTTTGAAACTCGTGCCTTCGTGTAAAAAGTTGTTTTTCTCTGATAAAAGAAGCTGAGAACTTGTTTACCGATTTTTTTTATTTTATTAAAAGCTTTGTGTGACAAATGCTATGCTAAAGAGCTCAAATCACACTGAGCGTCTGCCATTTTGAGAACAAAAAACAAGAACAAGAGACAGCCCATGTCACGTCAAGGGGCCTCCCTCGAGACTTGCTGCCCGCTCCCTCACTATCCATCCTTCGGTTCAAACAGCCTTATACTGCCATCTGGTGGTCGAAAACAGGTACTACACATAAAAATTAACCAACATTTCTTCTTAAATTTGACAATAATTACTAATTATTGTCAAATTTCAAACAATATTATCATTTATCGCAATAATTTCTGAGACAATTAATCGCCCAGTGAAATTTGTTATTGTGACAGGCCTATCCATTGGTTCTATTAAATGTTTCTAACTCAAACCAGGCCTGGTTTTAGATTCACACAAAGTTCTAGTTTAATAAAATCCACCTAGGTTCTCTTTGTGTCTATTCTGACTCCTGTTTTGGTTCACTTGAATGTCTGTGGGTGCCTTAGGTTTCTACACCTTCAACCACACCGACTGCTGGT